GTCCTGTGTTTACTGACTGTGTGCCCCACTCTGTGCAGTTACCTGGCTGGGAACATCACCTGCTGGTCTAGACTCTTAGAGATATTTAAGTATTTTTCAAGGGCTTGGCATACATCTCATTGCCTAGCTGCTGCTTTCCTAAGATTTCCTGATGAGTTTACTGTTTGCCCAAGGGTTACTGGTGCCTCAGGAAGCTTCAATGTGAAACAATTGCTGCTGATTTTGAGAAATGCCCCACAAGGAGAAGCCTATTTGCATCGGGAGAGGTCTGAACAAGGAAAATAAAAACAATTCTGTGAAGAGAATTTTCAGACAGGTCACATAGTGACAGTTCTCTGAGATGGAGTCAACAGAGCTATAGCTGTGTCCCTACCCTCACAGTGTCTATGCTATGACAGTGTGAATGTCACTGCTTTTATGCTCTTTGATCTATTCTGCCAGTCTGTGTCTTTTGATTGGTGAATTGGGATCTTTGGTGGTTAAAACTGACATGTACTGGCTTATCCTTGTCATGTTATTTTTCTGTTGTTAGCTCCCTTCTTTTTTCCCTCCTTCTCTTTCATTATTTGTCCTTTGGATTTCCTTTGTTGGGATTCATAAATATGCAATAGTTTTTATCTCTTTCTAGAATGTCCTTCAAATGTTTTGGAATTCTGGTTTGGTGGTCATAAATTTCCTCAGATGTTCTTTGTCATGGTAGTATCTTATTTCTCCATTGAGATCTTTTTCTTTCTTTTTTGTCTTTTCAGTCAGGGCCTCACTAGGTAGTTCAGACTAGCCTTGAGCTAGTTGTGAGAACTGACTCATTCCCATGAGAATTAATCCAGTCTTACCGAAAAAATTTAATCCCTCTTCAAGGCCCTACTTCCCAATACTGCTAAGTTAGCAACCAAATTTCAACTTGAATTTTGGCAGCAAAGAAGTATATTCACACAACAGCAGAGGCCAAATCTGTAATATAGTTTAATTTCTTTTTTTAGCTAGGTAGAAAATGTATTTATGTTTTAAAACCAAAAATATGTGCAGCAATCTTATTTCACCAATCTTAGGTGTTCTTATGTTATCTTGCTGGTTATTAGATAAAAATCCAATAAGTTGGTTTGTTGAACCTAAAGATTTTAGGATTCCAAATATTTATAACTATAATAATCTTATAATATTTCCAATCCAGTATATTAATTACCTGTGTTTTATCATAAATTGCAGGTATAAATATAGGTATATACATATACATATACACACATTTTGCCCTCCTACTTATATGCATTTGAAAATGTTAGCCATACTCTGTTTAATAGTTTCTAAATCCTTAATTTTATTCTGTTTTCAAAGCATGCACAAAATTTGTGACAGCCGGGCTGGTGAGCAGACTAAGCTCAGCGAACTAAGTGCCTGCTTAGGCAAGTGAAGGGACTGGGATTAAAGGCAAGCACCACCTACAGCCCTGGCCCAAACTCCAGGCATTCTGAGCCAGCCACCTAGTCCAGGTGTGGTGGTGTATGCCGGTAATCCCAGTGCTGGGGAAGCCAAAAGCAGGAGAATCACTAGGAGCCTAAGCTGTGTAGTGAGACCCTGTACCAAATACATTAAAAAAATGTGATGGCCATGCTGATGTTCTGTTCTATTACAGCCCTTGAAACAGTGGTGTTAGACTGTTACTATGGGGTGTATTCTGTGCAAGCAGACATAGCTCCATAAGCCATTTCGTACAAGTGTGCACGTAGGTCAGGTGTCTGCGTGTACAGGTGTGTTTAAACTTACCAGTGCGTGCTCCTCAGCTTTCCAACATGACTGGTTGAGGCAACTCACAGATGCCTTTTTTGTGTGAACTTAAATTTCTTTTTCTCTGTGTTAAATATACAACAGTGCTGTCACTGGGTTATATGGTAATTGTATGTTTAATTTTGTAAGATGCTGCCAAATGTTTTCCATGGTGACTGTTCCATTTCACAAGCATTTGAAGTTGTCACTTTAGCAATTCTGATAGTTATGGAGTGCTATGTCATTGTGGCTTTAATTTGCATTTCCCTATCTAGTGATGTGTCCTTACCTTTGCATGGGGTTAATTTGTAATCTGTATAGTGTGTTTCTTGAAATACCTGCTTGTATTATTTTCTAATTGAATTGTTTATTACTGATGAGTTTTGAAACAGTAAAAACATATTCTATTTTCTAGAATAGAAAACTATTTCTAGAATATAAAAATATATTTCAAACATTCAGTATACTGTAATGTGCAATGTAATCTAAACATGAAATTACCGTATGACCCATTTTTTAAAGTTGATAGTTTTTGGTTCAACATTAAAGAGAAATCTATGCTCTATTTTGAAGTAGCTTTTGTATGCGGGTGAGGCTCAAGCTGGTGTTGTGTTTCCATGGTGGGCCCAGCACTGTTGGAGAGGTGTCCTTCCCCTATTCATTTACTATATTGAAATGGTGGTCTTAGACACACTCTCCTACAAGACTTTCAATGTTTTTCTCTTCCAGTCTTAGTCTGATCGGAAAACCTACATACTCTATAGTTTCCATTGGAATTTGGAGGTCTTCCACCTGATTATCAGTCCTGTCCATCTCCCTTATTTTTACTTTTTAGGCTTTCATGGTGGTTATAAAAGCGAGAAGCAGCAGCTGGGGTTTGATCCCTGGCATGCCATGCTGGCAATTTAGACTGGGCATGGTGGCCAGCACCTATATTCCCAGCAATTGGGAGGCTGAAAACAGGAGAATCGCTACAACTCCATCTGTGTAGTGAGACCCTGTAGACCCTGTACTGAATAAAATTTAAAAAAGAAAAAAAAAAAATGAGAAGGTATGGTCTAATGGGAATGCCTAGCCCACAGGTCTCAAACAAAGTTTACAAAGGGGAAGAGGAGAAAAGGAAAGGAAAGGAAAAGAAAGAAAAGGAAAGGAAAGCAAAAGAAAGCAAAGGAAAAGAAAGCAAAGGGTCAGGGCTTGAGCTTCCAATCCATGCCTTTAAAAAAAGAATGTAATTGATATATAGTAGCTGTTCACATGAGTGGGTAGAGGGTTTTCTGCATGTATACCAGGTGTGGTGATGAATCAGGGACAGGAGTATACCTGTCACCTAATGTATCATCTGATTGCCTGCATGCCATCTTGCAGGGGCCCCTGTGACACATGCAGCTCAGGTCAGACATCCCAAGGGCCTCTATAGCTGAGGTAGAGATGGAAGACCCAGCCAGTCTCTCTTCCCAGGGTCCTGAGCAGGTGGTGAGCTGAGAGCTTGGCTTGGACCCTGTGGAGAGGTGTGGCTACTGTGGGCTCCCCACCCAGCACAGTACACCTACCCTCCTGTGCTCTGACTGCAGAAGAAGCTCACTGGGCCTTGTTCTGCTGCTGCCAGCTCCTGGAGCTCTGAGATTAGTGGGGGTGGCTTTTCCAGGCAATGGGTAGGTTAAACATGGAAGTGGACACTGCTTGGCAGAGAGCAAAGACAAGGCTATGCTCCTGTGCTCCTCCCCGAGGCCCTGTGCTTCTTATTCTTGCTCCTGGGGACTCTCACTGGCCCCATGGGCAGTTGACAAAGATGGAAGATGTACATTGTGTAGTGGAGGCAAAGTGGTTTTTACCCCAGTTCACAGACAGCCCAAGTGCACGAGGAGCTCTTCTGCTGGGGCTTCTCTGGTCACTCATTTCAGTTTTTGCCTGCCCTTCACTGGAGGTGGCTAGCTGTCTATTTGCTTATTCCCAGAGAACCTGTCCCTGCCTTGCAAGCCCCCCAGCAGGTGCTGATTTCACACGTCCTATGTGTCCCTCTCTGGGAACACAGGTGATGACATGTGGCACTGTGCACTGTGAGTGGCCAGATTGGTGAGTACCGTCCCCACCGTGTGTCATTGCAGATGTGAGCCTGGCCTCCGTGACGCTGGCCAGTGCCTTGCAAGTCAGGGGCGAAGCTCTGTTGGAGGAGGAAATCTGGTCCCTCTTGTTGCTGGCTGGGGAGAGACTCCTGGAAGACCTCCGCAGTGGTAAGCACTTGTGGGTAGCTGAGGCCCTTCTGGGGTCACTCTGGCCGCTGCTTCTCTGCTATGGCTGGTCCTGGGACTAGAATGTGTAGGCAAGGAGTTCCCCAAGCAGCTGCCCTGGAGGCTGCTCTGTTCCTGGGACTGGGCCACATGGCAGCGCTAAGAAGTCTGCTTCACATCAAGTGTGCTTAGGGAGACTGTGGCAATATGGGCCCTCTGACAGCTGGGCTATCTGGGCTTAACTGGAGACGAAGGCACAGTCACCAGGGACACTCCACATCTGTCTACCAGATGCTCGGCTCATCTGTGTCCAATCAAAGATGACAGGGGAGGTCAGTATAATTACTAAACTGCTATATAAGACAAGCAGAAAGATACAAGAAAAGGCCACCTGGTCCCCAGCGAGGACCTTCCAGATTGGTGTTTGGTGGTGATTGTGTAGGAGTGTAAGTGGATGAACTCCGGCTCCTATGAGCGGGGTAGTGTGGGCAGTAGACTCACCAAAAGGTGAACATGTGGCCAGGCCAGGCCAGGCCTTATCTTCTGGGCCCGAATCCAGGACACAGCGCCACCCACTGGTGGCCTCCGGCCCATACGACTGACTGCTGGAAACAGCAGGAAAATGTTTCCTGCTGCCATGTCTCCTGGGTGCCCTCTACTGGTGAGGCTGCACGTTGTACTCTCAGTGCAACAGGGATGCTCAGAGAGCAGCCCTTGCAGATGGATTTGAAGCTAGAGGCGCTGAATTGGTGGTTGCAACAACACTGAAAGCCCACACTCAGGCATCAGCTTGTAAGTCCCACACTTACAAGGGTGGCAGGTCAGCACGTGCAGAGCCTCTAGTGTGTGAGATCACACGTGCCATCAGGGTCCTAGTGGGAGCTGAAGACAGAAGGCCACGCCGCTGTGCCATGGTCTTCCCTTTCTTCTCAACTCCCCGCTCCCTGTTCCCTGCCTAGGAGCTTCTGAGAATGTCGACAGAGCTCTTGCCTGGCTTCCTGGTCTGGCTGAAGAGAACTGAAGCTTGGGCCAGTTTCCAAGTGGCTTTGAGACTCTCAGTCTCTGATGAACGCAGGGTCTAAATTCCTGGCCACAGCCACAGTGGCCTGTTCCTATCCCTTGGGAAAGATTCATTCTTGTCTGTGGCTCCCTGCTGTGGTGCTTGTAGTCAGACACACCCCATACCAGTCCTCCAGGCAGCCCCGTGTCCGTCCCTTATCACTGCCTTGGTTGCAGACTCCTCGGACTACGTGGTCTGCCCCTGGTCAGCCCTGCTTTCTGCTGCTGGAAGTCTTTCTTTCCAAGACCACGTTTCTCACCTAGAGGCTGCTCCTTTTAAAGCCCCTGAACTGCTACAGGGACAGAGTGAGGCTGAGCATCTGGACACATCTCAGGTAGGAGGCAAGTGTCGGGGGGCGGGGGCCGAGTGCCCACTTAGCTACAGGTGCCTGCTTCTCACCTCAGGGGAAGAACAGGTTTAAGGGTGTTCTCAGCTCTGAAGAAGGGTGGGTCATTTTCAATGAGGTCCAGTTTCCACATTTGCAGAGTGGGGTAGCTGATCATGCTATTACCAACATGCAAACAGTAGCTGCAGGATGGCAGCCTGCCTGTTGATACCATTGCAGCATGGAGCAAGCACTCCAAGGACCTGATAGGCCGCCACTAGGAAGGTTCCCCAAGGCACAGCAAGTGTGGAGCCAGTGGCAGCATGGTTGAGTTGTATTGTTGCTGTTCGTCATAAATTGGAATGAAGAAGAACACTCAGTTGAAGTAGATATGAGACAAGACAACATTAAATTGAAATGACTATGGATGCTTATTTAATGACTTGAAAAGAAATTCAAAATATGCTTGTCATAATTTTAGGTTTTGGTCACAGCTCAGTAATGTGTCAAAGTTCCCAGACAGATAGGTCCACTCTTCCCTCCTTATCTGTAGCTTTTGTTCATATATTCCTTTCTCATGGTCACAGGATGGTTGCTGGGACTGTATTGAAAGGAGGGACCAATCATATGCATTCCTTTTGTCAGTAAAGTAAAAGTTTTCAGACACCCCAACAGGTATTCATTCTTACATCTTTTGCCAACATGAGACATCATAGTTACAGCTAGAAAGCAAACTTCTGGCTTCCTACTTCCTACTGAGGAGTCAGCAAACGTCAAGGGAGATGCAGGTGGCCTTGTCTGGCCACATGTGGACATTGTGCTGGGTTTGTTTGCGAGGATGTGGAATAGCAAAGGTAACAGACATCTAACCTCGTGTTTCTCTCGGGCAGATGCATGTCTATTCCCTTGGGATGACCCTCTACTGGGCTGCAGGATTCCGAGTCCCACTAAGCCAGGTGTGTAGACGAGGATACCAGGTTACCCTTCAGGTGGGTTAGTGATACAGTAGGAGCTGGCAGGTGACAAAGAGTCACTGTTGCCTTTGCTCTGAGGGAGGAGCAAGCTACAGGGTTTAATAGACACCAAAGATGCTATTTATTACATGTTTGTATACAGAAAGGCTTTTAAAACAGCCCCTTCTGTAGTCAGGAGCTTCCCAAACAAAGGGTTCGTGGTCACATGTGGCGGGACACTCCCTGCCCTGCCTTCCTTTTGAAAACTTTTCGGAGAAGTTTATAAAAAGCTTCACCCTGCCCTCTCCAAGCCAACATCCTAGTGCTCTCTGAAGGCTTTTCCTTTTTTAAAGCAGAGTCTCTATCTATGTGGTTCAGGCTGGTATTCAACTCACTGTGTAGCCCAGTCTGGCTTCAAACTCGCAGCAATCCTCCTGCCTCGGCTTCCTGAACACTGGGATTGCAGGTGTGCAATACCACACCCCGCCTTGGACCCTCCTTCCCTCACAGGCTCCTGGATTGAAACCCTGGCTGCTCCCTGCTGCATCAGGGAGGTATCCCAGCATCTGAGCCAGGCGTACGTGGAGCCTCCTCCTGTCTGGCTGCTCTCTGGCCCTCTTTTGTCCTTGTGGTTTCATGGACACTTGCCTTGTGTGCCCTGTGATTGCTCTGCTAGTGCCATCCGGAAACTTTCCATCTTTTGGATCTGGAGGTTCCACAGAGCCATTTTGCCCCAGGCTGTGGTCCTGCACTTGCTCAGCCCCACCCTAGCCTTTGCACTGTGGCTGCCTCTGCTCCAGCTCCTCTCATCTTGCTGTGTTCTTGCCTTCTGTCCCTGTAAGTGATTGTCCTGACTTTCTCTTTAAGTGACAATCTTTCTCCTTGGGCTATAATTGCCTAGGAGGCAGAGAGCACCTCAGCCATCTGTGCAGGCCAGAGCTCCAGGTGTCTCTTGTGCTGCATGAGCACGGGTGCAGCTGCCTGGAGACCTGCAGGGCAGCTGTATGGCAGCTGTCAGTACAGCTCGAGTGGAGAACCAATTGCACCCTCCTCCTTATCCTCACTGTGGTCATTTGTGATATTAGGGACTGAGCCCAGGGCTTCATGTGCAGGAGGCATGTACTCTACCCCTGAGCTACACCCTGTCCCTGAGAATCTGGTTTTCTCTCTGGACCGGAGACCCCAGTGGTAGTCACTTAAATGCACACAGGAAGAGCTTATTAGTGGCTCATCTTTCCTCTTGCTTGCCCTGTGCATTTGATACCAAGTTCAACAACTGGGCACTTGTGCTGCTTCAGGTGTCTCCAAAGTGAAAAGGCCCTAGTCCAGCCTCTTAACCCACAGTTTGAGGTCTAGGGCAAGGGGCCCACCTGACACACTGGAGAAAATGACCCCAGGAGGGAATATGGGTGAAGGGCGGGACTCTGGGGTGAGCAGGTTGGGTGCAGTGGAATCTGTCTTGCACCTGCTGTTCATTGGCTCCCAGGCACATGGGCTGATGGCATCTGGGATCAGAGAATGGTGCACTGTGTTCAGCAGACACAGGGACCATCACTGTGCCTCACGTGACCCCAGTGACAGCCTGGTATCTGTCTGAGCTCTCCAGCAGGGGCAGGCATGGGGCAGTACAGTGACATAGCACCAATTTCCTTGAGACTCTGATGTGTCTCTCACCCCTGTGCTCCCTGTGCCTGCAGCCCCTCTGGCTCCGCCAGCCCCTGCACACCTTACTGCTGGCCATGTGTGAAGACCAGCCCCACAGGCGGTGCCCACTGCATGCTGTCCTGGAAGCCTGTCAGGCCCATCAGGAAGAAGTGGCTGCATCCTCAGTCCTTGCCAGTCTCCACGTGCGGCGGCTGGTGGGCTTAGTTCTGGGCACGATCTCTGAGGTGAGGATAGGATCCAGCTCCTCAGCCCAGCAGCCACGAGCCATGTAGGCTGATTAAAATTAAAACTAGGTTCAAATTAGAAATGAAATAAAACACAGTCACCGGACTAGGGGTGAAGCTCAGTGGCCAGGGCTCACTTAATGGGCACAAGGTTTTGGGTTCATCTCCTGACAGGAGAGAGTAGTTCCTCATTCATTCCAGCAACCTTTGAAGTGCTCCAATGGTACGGGCCAATTCCCTGCCAGCCCTGTGTCCAGAAGGGACTAGCCAAGAATAGGTGTGGCCCCAGTGGGTTCCTCTGAGCTGACCCAGGGCCTAGGGTTCCTGTGCAAGTCCTGTCTTGGGACAAACAGAAGTCGGGGAGGGGCCTCAGCTGAAGGCCACCTCCCTTGGCCCCAGGAGCTTGTGCAGGAATGGAACCCAGAAATTGGTGGGCACACTAGGCATGGGAAGGGGGACAGGTGAGGTTCCCTGTGGGACAAGACAGAGGCCAAGCCAGGATCCCTTGGCAGCTAGCTGTACTTGTCCAAAAGCATGCTAGAGAGCAGAGCAGGACAGGCTCTGGGCCACGTACATGGAGGTGAAGGACGGCGGGTGGCACTGCCAACCTCCGCCAGGAACGGCTCTCGCACTCTGCACCCTTCTGCGACCACCTTTGCTCTTAGATATGCACGTGCGCTCCTGTAACTGCTGCATTCCTCTGTAAGAGATTAGAGTCTGCTGTCCACAGGAGCCTTGTCCTTGGAGAAGCACTGTTCACTGGGGACCTGCAGAGTACACTCTAGTCCCTTCTTCAGCAAGCTGCGGAGGGTAGGACACAAATGTGCAAAGATGACAGGTCAGGTAGCCAGGGTGGAGGTGGAGAGGACTAGAAAGGGAAAGGACATGGCTCTGAATCTGGGTAAAGAAGAGCTTTGGGGGAAAGGAATGGCCAGGACAGGACAGATGTGCTGCACACAGATGTACCTGTTTCTAGGGAGGTTCACAGGGCTGCCTGTGAGTATGGCTACTAGAGACACGGCTTCCAGCTCTCTCTGACCTAGCAGGTCACATTGCTTGCGTGCGTCTGTGTCAGTGTCCCCTGATCTTGGCCTGTCCATGCATGATGCCTTTGACCCTCAGGTGGAAAGAAGAGTTGTGCAAGAAGATGTTTGTACACAGCAGAGCAGAAGCTACCTGCTCAGGAAGAGGCTGCAGCCCCAGAGCAGTGAAGGCTCCGAGACGCAGGCTGTGGCCCAGCCGCAGCCCCACACAGGTATGCACTCAAATTCTTGGAGTGAACCAGGGTGCCCGTGCCTGGCCTGTACCCTGGGTGGGCTGGATACACCATGTGGCAGCTGAGAAAGTCCTGGAGGAAGGGGGCTGAGCTCAGGTGCCCTGAGGACAATCTTAGCAATCTACTCACTGCTCCTATCAGATGTTAACTCTTTCTGTTCAAGTCTGACTGTCCAAGTGGATAAGAACAGATTAAAACAAGCAAGGAAAGAAGAAAAGCTTTTAATATCTATTTCCCAAGGGAAATGAGAGGAAAAGTTAACTCGTGAAAGTTTTGAAAATATTTTTGTTACTGCTTTAAGTATTTTATGAGTGTCTTTTACAATAACCTTCAGCCGGGAGGTGGATGGCAGGAGGATCATCATGCAGGCTGGGCTACAAAGTGAGTTCAAGGCCAGCCTGAACCAAGTAGTGAGTCCTTGGCTCAAAAACAAAAACAGAAGCAAACAAACAAGCCACTCAGTTCTTCTACTGAGCTCTTTTCAACTAAATCTGAACTTGCTGCCTTCCTACCTTTCCTCCCTGCCTTCCTTTCATTCTTGTCAAAGTTATTGTTTGCTCTCCCTAAAGCAGGATGTTCCATTGTTCTTTGCCATTAGGATTTATGTCCCCTGTAATGCTGCTCACCCTGTGGTTGTCTTTTCCATCTTTGGTATGAGGACAGAGGCTCAGAGAAATTTAGTAATCTACCTGAGGGTGCACAGCCAATAAACCACAGTGTTACCCAAGCTGCCAGCTGCCTGGATCACGGAAGCTGTGCCCTTTCCCCACATGTATCTCTACCATGCTGTCTGGTTGGTTTCAGGGCGAAGTGGAGAAATGCAGAGCTCCTGGGAGCCCCGCTGGAGCAGCTCAGCACACAGCCACTGCAATCTGTTGGAGAACAGGTGAGCCACAAGGCGATAGCCGGGGACCTGGTGCAGGGCGTTGGCACCTGGGGCCATGGGAGTTCTGCTTTGTGGCTGGTTACTGCGAGAAGACTCCTGTTCTCCACTGAGCCCCAGAGCTGTTGCATCAGCAGAGAAAGAAGGCAGGCTCAGGCAGGTGTCGAGGGCTGCAGTGGCTGCGCTGTGGTGGCTGCGCTGCTGGGCACTTGTGTCCCCAGGAGCTGAACCTCACTCAGACTCAGGGATGGAGCAACAGGCCTCACTGGGGATGCAGTTGTCCATGGCCACAACTGGTGGCATGACAAATGGCAGAATGTGGTGGTTACCAGCAGTACTTGTTCACTGGGCTCATGGCCTGTGGTCTGGAGACCCAGCTCTTCTGGGTACTGGGTGCTGTCCTGCGTGTGTGGCCAGCTGAGCTCAGCTGGCAGTTTTGTGTCAGGGAACCTGGCCTATCTCTGCCAGTAGCCAGTGACAGAATGGGATGGGTGTGAAGGGAGGGGAAACAGGAAGGAAGTCAAGGGGGAAGACAGAGGAGAGAGAAGGCTAAGGGGCTTCCAGAACAGGTTCCCCACCACTGCCACCTCACTGCATCGGCTAAATTGGGCCTTGAGAAGTTCAACTGAGCTGGGTGTGCAGATTACATATCCATAATCTCAGTGTGGGAGGCTGAGGCAAGAGAATTGCTGTGATTTCCAGGCCAGCCTGGGTGACATAGCTAGACAGTGTCTCAAAACAAACAAAGTTTGGCCCAGATTCACAGGGTGGGGAGCTGGACCCCATCTTTGGGTGGAAGGAGCAAAGTTATATTGTAACAGGTAGGGGAAGGGAGAAGAATTGGAGTCTTTTCTGCTGTCAGTTTAATCCTAGTACTTAGATCAAATCCCATCCAGGCCTGAATCTTCCTGGACCTGGGATGTGCATTTGAGGTTTGAGAATTTGCTGATTTTCATATTGATTTGTAAAGGACAGTGATGTATCTTGTCTTTCTGTGGTCACATCCACAGCTGGGCCTTGGCCAGATGTTAGAGCTCCTCTTGAAGTGGTTCTTCCTGCCACTTAAAGCCAACAGAAAAAGCTAATAGAGAAGGCCCCTCTGCTACAATTAATGCACAATCTCATTCTTTAATGATGGATCTGATCTGGGAAAGCAGAATTAGGTGATTGTGCGCACCTAGGTGCACAGTCACCCAGGGCCTGAGGTATCTGCCCCTAACAAACACACAAATGTACATATGTGTATTCACAAGCATGTGTTATATACATGATACAACCAAGTGCTGCTAGATTGACAGTAGATAAGACAGCCTGAAATTAAGTATGGATGAAGAGAAAATGATCAGGAACTGCAGGAGGTACTGCCACAAGCCAGGGCAGACTGTCACATGGGAAACCTTTATAGCTAGAAACATGCATTGGAAAACAACAATGAAAATTGTGGTACTGTAAATACATAAACCAGTGCCATTATTGGGTCTGGTTATTGTCCATGACCATAATGGCACCATGTGGGATTGTATGTGCTGCCCTTGTATATAACCTGACCGCTCAGTGGGTTTCTGTGCTCCCATGTCCCCACAAATAGAATGTGTGGTGTGCTGCCATGTCACTGTGGCTTTGACCTTACTAGGCTACGAGACTTTTTCAGCTCCATAATAATGCTGTGGCGCCACTGTCACACAGTATGCTGTTGACCCAAACATTGTTAGGCTGTGCATGGCCACATGTTTGCTGGCAAAACATTTCAAACAACATATAAAATTTGAAGGAAGGAAGTCAGAAGCCCTGGCGTTTCCATGATGTACACAGAGGTCATCAGGGACCTGGGGCCACAGCACCCAGAGCTCAGAGGCAGAGTCCGCCTTAGCTCCTCACCCCTTCTGGCCACCGCCAGTGCTCTTGCAGGTGCAGCACCTCTCGATGGGCAGGACGGCCAGCGGTTTAGCTCAGGGTCCACGTTCACGACAGAAGCAGAGAGCTCCAGATCAGCGCCTCCCCAGCAGGGTTTCCTGCAGAGGAAGGAAAAGGTGAGCAGAGGAGCCTAGGGCCTCTGGGGAGGGTTGGGCAAGGCCATGGTATACAGGCTGAAAGGGGAAGGGTCCTTGGGGACCAGGACCTTGGGTTGCTGTCCATAGAACCAATGACTACAGAAATGTGCAGTCCCAGTGCTGGCCAAATAGCTCAGCAGATTAAAGCACCTGCAAGCAGGTGCAGGAGCCATGAGTTCAATCCCCTGGGCCTACTGTGCCAGCCCTGCCACCAGGGCACGCTGAGATGGCAATTGAGACTGGGCATGGTGGGACATACCTGTAATCCCAGCTCTTGGGAGGCTGTAAACAAGAGAATCACCACAAGTCTGGTCTAGCAGTAAGACCCTGAACACCCTGTAGACCCTTCCCTAAAATGCAGGAAAAAAAAAAAGAAAGAAAGAAAGAAATGTGCAGTCCCATTTAGTATCGGCAATACTAAGCTGTATCCCATTTAGAGTGGCCTTCCTGGGACAGGCTCTGGCATCCATGCCAGGAGGACCCATGCCTCTCAGAGGAAGTGCAGCTTGGTGCCCATGGGAGCCACCAAGTACCATCTGTGATGACAGGGACATGGTAAAGTGCACATGCCAGGGTCACAGATCTGGGGTGTTTAGACCTTCTCGGGGGGGGGGGAGAGCTCCCTTTTGGAAAAGATAGTGTTAGAGATAGGGCTCCAGCCTGCTCAAGCTTGGCACAGGTGTCTATGCTGCAGGTGGGATTGGGTGGGCCCAGGCTGTGCTGCTTGCTGTGGGCCATGCCACACACAGTTTTTAAAATGAAGCATTTTTAGAAAGGGACGCTACCATTAGCTGATACCCATTGTCCATGAGGGGATTGGTGCCCCTGGAGCAAGGAGTAGCCACCCCTCCCCCAGCCTCTGTCATCCCATCAAGGACACTTCAAGATCTCAGACCAGAAGGACCTTCTGTGTCCTCTGAAGGTTATCTGTCTGTCTGCCCATTGCAGGGAGGTTTGCTTAAAGCTTCTCAACAAATAAGAGCTCAACAGAACCTAAACAGCCTCAGGACATCCCTCTCCACTTTCCCACATGCTCAGCCTGTCCTCCATTGTCCTCAAAGCCACTGTGGCCATCACAAGCCTGAGGAAGGGGTGTCAGAGCCCCAGCACCTGGGGTGTATGGAGCCACAGTTGGGGGCAAGGGCAGTACCAGGGCGTGGCTGCTGTCTTGCCTCCATTGTTTTGTCCTCTGGAGTCCCCAGGACACAGCTGAGCCCCTGATGGGATTTTGACCCCTAGGGGCAGCACCCCTGGGGGGCATAGCAGTCCTCACCTGACCTTGTCACTCCTGGTTCTGTGACTGCACCAGCTTTTTATTCTCCCGGAGCCTTGATTTCCTCAGCTGTGAGGTGAGCTGAGAACATCACGCTGGCAGTGGCAGGGCTGAGGACCCATGAGGGTGGAGACATTGGATCTGTCTTGGTCCTGAGTGTGATGCACATGGGCTGACCTGTGACTCCCAGGTCAGACGCTGCCAGCGCACACTGTTGAGTTGGCACAGGGAGAGCAAGTGTGTTCCCCAGCGAACCCTAGAACAGTTCATTTTTCTTCTTCTTTTTTTTTTTTTTTTGTGGAACCAGGGATTGAATTCAGGCCCTTGCACTTGCCAGGCAAGCACTAATCCTATTGAGCTATCTCCCCAGCCCAATTTTAAATTTTATTCTTTTAATTG